TGTCAGTTCTCGAGGCCCGAAGGGCCGAGAATAGTTTTTTTCTCTCACAGAATGGACAGTTTGAGGACTTTATCCTACTTAAAACATTTTCTCTTTTGTTAACTTAAGAAACTGTCCCAGGTGATGATTATGTATTTGCTATGATTATGTAACACACTTGATTACCCAGAGAGTGAGGGGAGAAAACAATAGTGTATTGTTTAACTTAATGGACAGTGCCAGGTAAATTTAGATTTAAATGATAGTTCCCTTGATTTCTTACCACTTCCCATGTAAAGCTTCAGGAGTAAAGACGTCCTCATAGGATGAAGAAAGTAATACATATTTCTCCAAAATATTTCTACAAAAATTTCTGTAGGTATACAAATTCTGAAGTTGGTATCCAAGTTTTGACAAAAAGTATTGCAAATCTTTGTGAAAATCAGGATTTTAGGGACAATATATGAAACAATCTCTGAGAGCAACAGTGGCAACCCACTTGTATGAAGCTGAGATTAAGGAACAACTAACAACAGAAAATTGAAAAATGGACCACAAATCTATTACAGTTTGATGCTACAATTGAGCCAACAATGAATAACAGCAGAAAGTAAATAAAATAAATCATGGAAATATGGGAGATTCAGATGATGGCAAGTGTATTAAAAAGATGAAAATTTGTGATCCTTGTCCCAAAAATGATTCTACGGTGCATCTAGTGAGATTATAATTTCATCGGGAAATACACCTTTCTCTTTCAAATTTTAAATTGCTGTTGGATATGTATTTCTAAACATTCATGGAATGGATTTACCACGTCCAGCATTTATTTACAAATGTTGTGAAGAGGATAAACGTTTGTTTATTAATAAACTAAGAAACTTCTGGATGTGCATGTTCTACAATTATTATGCATCAGGAAATTACAAGTGTGTCTTTTTTCATTTGATTTTTTCATTTCCAAAGACGATATACTGTTGATCATTCATATATAAAATAAAATGTTTGATATTTATGCATAACTGTGTTTTAAATTAAAAAAATTATTTGACTGTTTTCATTACTAATGAAGTTCAGAAAATGTTTAGCATTTCATGGATTGTTTTTAGCATAATAGATTTGGATATTTAAAACCTGTACATTAAGTTACCTGTAATTGTACATTAAGATGACAAAAAACTGTCGATTAAGTTAAGAATTGAGAGTTTTGTCAACTTAATGTACGGTTAAAGGTGACTTAATGTACAGGTTTTAAATATCCAAATCTATTATGCTATATAATGTACTAAAACACAAAGGATTACATAACAAAAATGTTTTAATAGATTTTAAGCTCAACAAGAAATGATATTTGGATGTTGAGTAAATAAGGTAACTAAAACTGTACAGATACTTATGGGGAAATGTTGAGAAAATGAAAACTCAATCACATATTGTTTTATAATGCCTGTGACGTCGAAAATTTTGCTGCTCCGTGACTCAATGATATGTCCTCCTAAATCACTCAAAATTGATACCAATTTACAACATTTAGCTATGAAATTTTGAAGACCTTATAAGTAAAGATTCTTTTTTATTATGCGTGACATTTTACCCGATTATGTCGTCAAACATTTTTCTGTGCAACAAGTCAGCGTAATTTTTGAACGGCCCTCGTAATGCATATGTTCTTGTTTTCTCTTACCAAAATGAAGGACTGCTTCATTCATTGTTGAACCTTGGGATTTATGGATTGTTTTTGCACAAGCTAGTCGCCTGTCTTCGAATTACCTGAGTTGCACGAAACTGATTCACTGTGAAGTTTCTTGTAATTTCTAAAATAGGAGTCCATGATTTGTTCATCTCTGGTACAAATAAGTGGGCATACTTTGAACGAGCATTTACACCAATGTTTTCAATCTCTAATGCAACCCAAATTATGCTGCAACGCTTTGAATTTTTTACTCGAAAATCTAACCTCTTTACCACACATGTGGTTCCATTTGTAAGACCATCTTTGACATCTATGTTGATACAAATTTCTGCTGGTAAATCCTCAACAATATGTAAATGTTTACACAAACCCATAGTCTTAGAGGGGTCATCTGAAACTTTTGACAAGAGTTTTTGCTTTACATCTGCACTCACATCTCCAGCAACAGAATCTAAAGAAGGAATTACACATTTCTTGTGGTCTTCTGCATTTAGGTATGCATGCATATTGTGATTATCTACTTGTGCATTAATAGTATACAAATGGGGTACTGAAGAGCTAAAATCAGAAGCTACCACCCTCTGTTTTAACAGAGCAATATCAGAATTTGTTTGCAAACCTTCACGTAATCTGTTCAATAGTTCAGCAAAATCGCAAAAACAAAAAGGATATGATTAAACGTTTCTAATATATTTTCTTATGTTTTACGCAAATATATTAAACATAAAATATTAATAAAATGCAATGTTGTAGTTGTAAATCGCCTAAACATTAGTGAATAAATAAGCATTTTGTAGTCTTGGGTCATTAAACATATGTTCCCACCGTGAACATAAAAAGCTTTGGTATGGATTGGTAAATTGACAGTCCATATAAACGGTTATCTCAGTACTGAAAGGAGTGTAAAGAGTTCATCTAATATGTACCGAAAAAATGCATGAAATGGTGATATTTAAGTATGCGTAGCTTTGACAAATGTCATCAGAGAAAAAAACAGATATTCTGTTTTTTGTAATACTGCACTTAATAGTAAAACCATTAACATTCCAAAATGATGTCACAAATGCATGCAATCTTATTATATTAGATGTTCCGAATCCGCTACTGCTTCTCAAACATCTAACACCATCCCATACGGGGTCACGTCAAAGTGACTTTTTGATTAGCCAAAGAAAATAAGTTCCTCCGAAATCTTGGCTTATAGTTCAGATGGGTTTCTTTTCACAACCGAACCTAAACACCCGAGGAGTTTCTTTGTAAACACAGTATGCATAGGAGTAGTGTACAGTATTTGATATCTTGCATAGTTTGTGCTTTTTCGTTTGCATTATTCAGACTATGCCAGACTGCGGAATATATATACATAACATTTATACCAAAATTGCTTTAATTCAACGTAAGACAGTAGCAATAATGATGATATGTTCCCGTGGAACTAATTTTAGAATTGTATACCAAGGCTTGAATCTACTCGGCTAAAATGTTTTTGTTTATTCATAATCTAAAGGTCGCTCTGACCTGACCCCGAATGGGATGTTAGATGTTTGAAAAGCAGTAGCAGATTTGGAACATCTAACTAACTTTTGATTAGACTGAGATGTATGTTTCAAAATTTAAACATAATATTTCTTCAAAATTTCTAGCAACAACTTTAGAGCCACATGGAAAAGAGTTTGAAATATCTAACGCTGCTAATTTTTTTCAGAAATTATTTTTATGTCAGATTGTGATATGGAGGAATTTCAATACAGAGAAAGAGTAACGAGTTATTATCACAAAATTTAAATTTAAAATATGAGTTGCATATGAAAAAAATTTATTAAAATGCTTAAAATCCTGATGGAAAACATCATGAAGAGATGCTTCGTAAGTCAGAAAATCATAATGTTGTATGTGGTTGTAAGAAATAAATGCATCTGTGGGGAGTTATCTTTCTTCGAAATATTTCTTCATGTGAAAAAAATGCCATACTTATAAAAATTTTGTATAAAGTACTTGGAACATTAAACTTCTCTTAAAATAGTCCTTACAAATATACAGCTTATACAATTTATGAAGCTGGATTTAAATGTTTTATTGTTAAAGATAATAAAACAAAAAGAAAGAAATTGGCAACAGAAATAGAAAGTAATGTTGCAAACTTATATTAAATTTCATCGAATTGACTACTCAGAGGTCTCGCTTAGGAAACTCGAATTAAGAAAACTGTGAGTAGTAATCATAATTTGTACTTTGAAAATTGTCTGTCTTAGCAGAGGGTCGTTACCCCTTTAAGTGTTCGCTTGTTATCCAATCGTTTGAAAAGCGGGAGGGTAATTGGTGTATCTGAACGTCCGTCTAGCTGTCCGTCCGTCTGTTACGCTTCGGGGCATCTCTTATCCGCAACTCCTCTTATACCACTGAATTAAATTTTACAAAATGTATATTCATGAAGATTTGCCCTTTTTTATTCATCGTACACCATTTAACGGAAGTTGCCGGTCAAATAAAATATTTTACGTGTAATCGATCTTTAAATTATGTATTGGATGCATTGAGGGAAAACAACGATTGTTTTATTTCATTTGTTCTTTATCTTTGCAGTTGTTACCTTTGAATGCGCATTGGCCTTCTTTGCGTAGGTAAGAAACTTTTTTTTCCAATAATAACGTTTAAGATCATTTGTATCATAATTCAAAATGACAAAAAAAAACCACTTGTATATGCAAAACCTTTAATGACTGTCTGTATAGTGACTTCATTATTTAATAATGCCATTTTCTAAATGTTCTATTACCACTAAAAGGGAAAACATGCCAATATTTTTCAATTTCCTGTATTCTTTTCCATTTTAATTAATAAGAGTTGCTTCTTATATGAGTTTCCATTCAATGATTTGGATAGTTATTAGTCCCTTACCGGTGAAACCTCAAGAGACTGTAGGTTTCATGTCCGTCTGTCTGTCCTAAGTCTCTCTATCAGTCTGTACCACTTCATTTTTAGCTAACCTGAGTCGAAGGCTCAAGAGAGCATTTCTGATCACATTTTGTCCGGCGTCCGTCTGTCTGTCTGTGAAGTTTTCACACTTTCGACTTCTTCTCTAGAACCACTGGGCAAATTTCAACCAAACTTGCCACAGAACATCCTTAGGTGAAGGGGATTCAAGTTTGTTCAAATGAAGGGCCACGCCCTAATTCAAAGGGAGATTACTCAGAAATGGTAAATATTTTATGGCATGTTTTAAAAATCATCTTCTCCAGATCCACTGTGCCAGGAAAGATGTAACTGATAGGGAAACATCCTCAGGTGGTGTAATTTTTCTAAAATCATGACCCTCAGGGGTAGGGCGGGGTAAAAATGGCTGACCAAAGTTTTACAAAGAGATATAATGGAAAATTCTTTATAAATCTTCTCAAGAACCACAAAACCATGATAATACTTTTATGGAAGCATTATGGTAGCCTAAGTGTAGATTAAAGTTTGTTCAAGTTTTGCCCCCAGGAGGTACGGTGGGGGCATAAAGACCGATCAAAATTTGACATAGAAAAATACAGATTTTTAAAAAAAATCTTCTCAAGAAAAGCAAATACATTGATCATTTTAATATGGAAGCATCCTCAGGTAAGGTAGATTCAAGTTTGTTCAAATAATGACCCCGGGATAGGTTGAGGCCACAATGGTCGATCAATTTTAACATAGAATAATATAGGAAAAGTCTTTAAAATATCCTTCACAAGAATAGCAAAGCCATGATTGATCATATTTACATGGAATCCTTTTCGGGTAGTGTAGATTCATTTATAATTATACTATTTTCTTCTTTATTTCCTAACCAAAGTGCTCAGGTGAGCGATGTGGCCCATGGGCCTCTTGTTGGCACTTTTTTTCTACACGCTTGCAGATATTCAGCTGGTTCTTTTTTATATTTGAGTTTATCTTGCTGAATTACACATCATGTTTATATATCGTTGCACTTCATTGATTTTTGAACTATGGCATTTTTAATTTTTCATAATGGCTAAGATCGGATTTGAGCTGAACTAAAATTGATGATCCAAAGGAGATGGTCATTTGAAGAAAAAAAACAAGAGGCCCACGAGCCTGATAGGTCACTTGAGCATCATGCAACAATATCTCAACAATTGAATTTCGATCATGTTTTAACCAATGAGATTCAAAATTTTGAAAGAGGCAATATTGCTTATCATAACATTAAACATGCCTAATCTGGTAACGTGAGGTACCCAGAGGTAGATCAGAGTAACAAAGAGAAAAAAGAAAACGGTAGATAACTCTAAATCAGTGCATACTCAATGGCATACTTATTACTAGTAAATATTAACATGGTATAAATATAAAGCGAGAAAATGTGTTTAATTTTCGTCTCTATATTGATTATTTTTGGGGTTAAAGGCATATAAAACCTTATCGGTTTTGTAACGCAAATCGAATTGTATTCTTGACTTCTAAATCGTTTCTCAGCGATACTGCAATTTCTTGCTACATTGCGAGTATATGGGAGGCATTCTTACTGTAATGAGAGTTTTTCCCGAGGTAGAGTTAAAGTATTCTAATTTAAGTGATATATCATAGATTAAGTATTATTATCTCTATTTATAAAACTGTTTTTTACAATTTAAATTGAGCTGATCTAATTATAGAGTGCATTGTTACAACGCGAAATGTAATAACAACGCGAAATGTAATAAACCTGGATTATTACATTTTGCGTTATTACATTTTGCGTCGAGATCAACGCAAAATGTAATAACGCTAAATGTAATAACACAATTTTAAGATTATTACATTTTGCGTTTTTACATTTTGCATCGAGATCAACGCAAAATGTAATAACGTGCTTTTTCGTTATTACATTTTGCGTTATTTTATTTTTGCACTGAAAACAACGCAAAATGTAATAAAACAATATGTAATAAAACAAAATAAAATAACTTTTTTGATTGCGTTGAACAAAAAAATCATAAAATTGATTCAAATATATACCTGTTACCAACATCGGAAACGCGCTGTAAAAATATTTTGAACTAAAACAATGAGATCAACGTTAGGACTTTTTCCGGACATAAGTACATTAAAAATGTATCGTTTTTCTGATTCTGATTTAAGTTAAATTGAATACATTGTACTTAATTACAAAGAATTTATTTAATTTTAATTGGAATACTTTTGATAATCTTATTAAATTTCTAACCAATAAAACATATTTAATTAACAAAGATTGACCATATGTTCATTAAAAGCTCTTGATATCCATTTTCGGCACGTATACATTGGTTAACAAATGAATAGAAGTATATGTGTGTCAGGCGAGGGTCGGACGGGCAGGGATAGGGCGGGGTGTTTACTTCGTATGTTTATTATTTTATTACTGTGGACATGCAGAAACAATCCGTATTATTAGAGGATGGAAAGAAAGAGAGAGAGAGAGAATTTTGATTTTGCTTGTCTGCAATGCCGGAGATTTGCATGGAACAGTATGGTATCATTATTGTCATAAAACCCCTTCCCGCTATACATTTACATCTGCTAGTACAAATTGATATTATTTTTTTTTATTTATTGCAATTGTCTATAAAAATTGATCTTTTTTTTTTCTTTTGTTTTATTTTCTTTTCATTGGCCACTACGCTATTGAAAATTGTACTCAATCTGGCCGACGAAAAAATGTATTATTACATTTTGCGTTCCTGCCTTTTGCTCGACACAAAATGTAACAACGCAAAATGATATGTTCCAAAAATCTTGTTATTACATTTTGCGTTATTACATTTTGCGTTGATCTCAACGCAAAATGTAATAACGCGAAATGTAATAATTCTTCAAAATGTGGTGTTACATTTTGAGTTATTACATACTGCGTTGATTTCCACGCAAAATGTAATAACGCAAAATGTTATAATCCAGGTTTATTACATTTGGCGTTGTTTTTACATTTCGCGTTGTAACAGTGCATGTATGTCTAATGACATTCAAACACGTATTTCTTTGTAAGACAGATTTTTTTAAATACAGTATCTTAATAAATGACATCCTAAAGAGAAAAAGCGAACAAGTTAGGGGCATGCTTTGCTTAAATAATACTCTTAGAGTGCTTTTTAGGTCACCTGAGTTTATTGCTGTTCGTTTCCGTCCGTTGTCCGTCGTCGTGCATTAACATATTTCCAGTTTCTCCTCAGAGACCACTAAAATAATTTCAACCAAGTTTGGCATATAGCATCTATGGGTGAAGGGGAACAAAAATTATTAATTTCTTTACTCCTGGGCATCAAGAAGTCGAACTGTTGGCGTGATTGTTATCAGCATTGAGAGCTTTTCTAAAATTGTGAAATTCATGGCCCCCGTGTCAGGGGATCTACATGTAATTAACAACGAGATATACATGTAACAGTACTTAAATTTTTAGATATGATATCCTAAGTAGTCAACTATCATTTGACAAAGAAGAAATAAATACATACATATTAGTTTTAAAATTTTATTATTTTTGTATATCTTAAAATGGAGCTCTTCTAAAGGAGATCGAAATAGTCTAAAAATGGCCACCAACACCCAGCCTCTTTGAGTAACCAAACTTAGCAATTGCTAAGTTTATAGTTTTGATTATCAACGGTGCCAGCCTCTTTCAAAATTGTGAATGCAATAGCATCTACCTTTAAACATGAACCAAATTCAATCATTTGAAAGTCGTTGCATTATTCTCTGGTGACCTATAAGACCCAATGGGCCTCTTGTAAAATAAATTTATATATTTGCAAAAGAATTTATGTCATTTTTACGATTTCTAAATTTTAGAAACATGGACATATTCAACCTTTCAACGATTACGATTTTCTTAATTGCAATATTACATATGGACCAGTTTCTTCGACTCACAATTGTACCATCAAAGATTACTCGCTCATAAATCATCAGAAAATATTTAGGCAAATGATTCAGGACAACCATAACCAACTAATTTTCATTTATCTTGAAATGTTTGGAATATACGAAATTGCGGACAATGATTTCAATAGAAACAGGATGGCCGAATGGATCTGGGTCACGCAAGATTATAAACATCTCCTGCGATACCCTATGGATATTGACTTATATACATTTGGTCTTCTAAGAAGAGGAACTGACAATTTTCATCTGCAAGTAGAAATAGAAAATGTCGAGGAGTGCAAAAAATCATCTCTCACAAATTTTCCTTACGAATATTTAACGAAAATTGTAAACAATCAAGGAAAAGGAATGCTATGTCATAGATATTTTGAAAACCAAGGGTTTAAACTATTTTTATTTAATATTTCTCATGTGTCAATTGGCTATGATTTTGAATGTTTTTCAGATAACCTTAATGAGACAAAATATGAGATTGTTACAAAGTCTCCGATCATTTACATTACCATTGCCATTGTAGTTATTTTCATTTCCTTTTACCCTGCTTTTGTATCAATTGCAGTTCACGACGAACAACAGCATAGAAATGTTAAATTTTACACAAAAGCAGATTATCCTTATACATTTAGACGACTTTTCCTATTCCTTTTATTTCATAATACCTCTCGTACCATTATCAGTGTTTTTCGTTTCACATTTCTAATGCTGTTGATGGGTTTTTCTTTTTTCTGCGTGAAGTTGATAGTAACGGCTTCTTGTGAAAACTGTTTTCCAACAGATAAAAGAAACTATCCAAGAGTTTTTGACCTAACTACGGGGGAATCAGAAGAAAATCTTTTGAGACTCATTGCATTATCGTTCACTTTTTTGATTGTTTTACATATCGTGAACTATACTGCATTTGATCACTTTAATACTGAAGACCATGTTGTTTTATTTGATATAACAAACATGTGTCTGCCCTCTGAAAATGAGCAAAGTGGTATAAATGTAAAAATTTTAAGATTTATTCCAATCCATTATTTCACGAGTAATGATGAGTGTAGTAATAGCGTGTTTTCGCAAATTGTATGGAGATATAAACAGCTTGCTTCTCTTTATTTCTGGAGTAAAATTTGTTTATTTCCAATGAGAAATTTTACGAAAATCAAACACAAGGGATGTAAATTTATTTATGTAATTATAAATTTTTTTTTAATATTCCCCATTAATCTATTTGTTTTTGTCTCATGTTCTCTATGTCCATTGATAAATTTTCTATTTTTACAATCCTTAAATTATTTACAAAAGTTTTTTCAGTTCAGTTTTTATGTTTTCAGGATTATCATAAGAATATTTTCCCTCGACATTGGAAGCTTTGATAGAGTCTATCAAACACAATCTGGAACAAATGAGACATCCAACTGGAAGCATTTCTTATTTTTTCTTGTATTCACTTTTTATCCGTTGTGTTTTACGGGCCTACTGTACATATATTTTGTAGACAATTGCTTTACTTATGGTTTGCTCTACTTTTTACAAACACTTATGTATACTATATTTGCAGCTTTGCCGCATCTTCTTTCTACATATATCCATATATTTGCTATCCTGTTTATTGGCATTTCTTATATTCTGTATTTCATTGTTTCATTTTATAAGAAATACAGGGAAATATTATTATTTATATTGGACAAAAAAGGTAAGTCAGAAATAAGTGTTGACTATTTTGATAAAGTGACTACTATGTTTTTTCCTCTGAGGAATGCAGTCTTTGTTCTCATAGCAAAATCTTTTTTTACAGTCTTATTTGTATTAATAAATTACGTAACATTTGGGTATGTTCATCTTTTAGATGAAGAAAGGGACAACGACTTCAATATTTTCTTTCCTCTTATTGCATCTGTTTTTGCACCAAGGATTCTAGAGAAATACTGCCTAGAAAGTACTCAAGATCAGTTGCATAGAAAAGAGAGACAAATTAAAGTATTATTAGATTTTTTAATGGAACAAAATAATTTGGATTACAAATCTGTCATTAACAAAATAAAGAATTTATTAGTTTCTTTGGAGCCACAAAATTTTTGGGATACGAATTCTGATATTGAAAAAATAAACCAAATTAAGAAATTATTAAATTCTTTATGGCAAGAGAATAAATTGGATAAAGATTGTGATATTGAAAAGCTAAATAATATCAAAAAGTTGTTAGATTCTATAGTGCCACAGGAAAATTTGGATTACGAATCTGATATTGAAAAGCTAAACCAAAGTAAGATATTAGTAAACTTTTTGGGGCTACAGAATAGAAGATCCATCGAAGGGCAAGAATTTAAATTGCAGTATGTGTTTTCTAGTTTACGTTGCAAGGAAAGAAAAATGTCAGAAATGGCATGTTTGAAAGGCCTTAAACATAAAGTGTGTATGCCTTGTCTTACCTGCAAAAATGCCTTCAATCAAGAGGTTTGTGAAGAGTTTTGTGCATGCCTTATTTGTAAGGAGCAGACTGATGTTAATACAAATTGTAACTGCCCAGATTTCTGTTCGGAGATATGTGCATGCCTTCCTTTAAATTGCATCAACAAAGAAACAGAACAGTGTGCATGTTGTTATACACTCGTAGAACATGTAGAAATACCACCTGGTTATCAAGCTTTTAGGTCTAGCTCCGATTATGATAGTGAGAATGAAATCAGAAATGAACATATATCTGAGGAAAGGGAGAGTACGAGTGTCAAAATTCCACAATCGGCCTCCCAATTTCCAGATAATGAAATAAGCCATTTAAGTAATAGGTCGTACCAGAATATGTTACAAGGGGACGGCATCACTATAGTATAACACAAATGATATTTGTCTGTATATCTTTCAATATGCTCTTTTGTGCTTTTGCTATGAAATTTCTTATAGAGTTAACTTACCTTACATCTTGTATGACTGAGATTTTGTGTTTTATGAATAATTTGCATTAAATTTGCAATACAAACAATTTTAAAATGTGTTTGTAATTATATTTTTTGTTGTGTCTTTTGTCATTCCTGAGAGGAACTATTTATCTGGTGTGAATTTGCACTTTTAAGCTAGAAATTTATAACATGTAAAATATGCAAAATCACAAGTTCTACCTAAATTGAGTCAAAGGTTCAACTTAGCTTTTTGATCAAAATTAGACAGGTGTCTGTCGTAGTCGATACACAATATCAACAACTAATGAAACAAATTTAAACAAACTTTACATAGAGTAGCCTTGGGTAAACGGAATTCAAGATCATTTAATTAAATGGCCATATTTTTTAAGGAGATATTATTATGAATTCTTGATGCTATTTTCATTTCATCTTTTTAAAATCTTTTCAAGAACCATTCGAAAGAAAAAAGGAAATTTAGGTAAAGTCTTCCTACGGAAATGTAAGTTCACGTGAGTTAAAATCATGAGTCCCGAAGTAAGGCCGGGGCTTCAATGGATGTTTCTTATGATCAAAATTTAAAATATTTCTCCCAAGAACAGCTTATGCATTATATGAGCACTGAGTATAGACTGGGGCAATTTGATGATCAAATATTTTCATAGGAAAGCACAGGGAAGTGTACCCAACCGCGGTTTTTAAATTCCTGGAGGAAAATACTACAATCAGATTAATTAGATAAATAAAATTAAAAGAACAATACAGATCTTAATATTATCCATGTCATGCACCTTTGATTATCATGCCTTTTTATAAATGTTAAAAACATAAAATACATGGCATTTTCTGCCAAACCCTTAGTTATTTGCCTTATTATTTCATATACAGATCTTGTTGTGTAATGCAACTGCAGACATTAAAAACATAGAAATTAATTTTCAAGGGTCAAATTCCAAACAGTTCTAATTGCAGAAAAATACCCTTTCAACGGTATTCTAGTGTTATAATACATAGAATGTTCAAAGTTAACATTCAGAAGGCATATGAATATACGACATATGCATATAAGACAAAACGGATTCATGTATATAAGAATTTAATTTCTTTATTATTTTTTTTTTCAATCAAAAATATTTTAATTTTGAAAAAGAGGACACAATACTCTTTATACTTTAAATATGCTTATTTTATAACCAAAAGCTAAATATTTGATGAAAAAGTATTTAATTTACGTATCCTTGGGTCAAGTGGATTTAAATTTCTTCATATGAAGGGCCACGCCCTATTCCGAAGGGAGATGATAAAAAAATTACTGAAAAATCAATGGCATCTTTCAAAAATCTTCTCAAGAACCACTGAACCAGTAAAGATGAAACTTATATGGAAACATCCTCAGGTAGTGTATATTCAAGACTGTTGAAATCATGACCCCTGGGGGTAGGGCCGGACCACAATAGACGATAAAATTTACATTGAAATATATAGGGAAAATTTTGAGAACAGCAAAGCCATTGTTGGTCATATTTATTTGGAAGTATCCTCTGGTAGAGAAGATTCGAATTTATTTGTTGAAACTATAACCACATTGGACGATCAAAGTTTTAGATAGAAATATATAGGAAAAATCTTTAAAATATCTTCTTCTGAAGAACAGAAAGGCCATGATTGGTCATATTTATATGGACGCATTTTCAGGTAGTGTAGATTCAAGATTGTTTTAAGACAAGTTTTTTTCTCTTACCATATAAAAGTTAACTTGTATGAAATAGGAAAACTGTATATTTCATATATTAAAGAAGACCTTTCAGTAAACAAATTCAATGAACTAAGTAATAGACAACGCTAAGCCTAGAATCTGGTTAAATTTGAAATTGTTTGCAAGAGTAAAGGGGCATACAGATCTCTCTAAACATTTATATTTTTACTTTCTTTTCATAGTGCATTAAATTCCCATGCCGTATGTTTAAGGGAAGTCGTTACTGGTTGTAACTCTAATCCTGGTGATTCCAACCAAAGTATGTCGCCCGCGTGGCGCAGTGGTTAGAGCGACTGCTCTAGAGTCGCGAAGTAAGGAGTCAATCCTTACGTCGCGGGTTCGAATCCCACTGTGGGACGTGGAGACCGGTCCTTCGGATGACACCGTATAAACTGAGGTTCCGTGTCGCAGTAGGTGCTGGCACGAAAAAGATCCCTCCCTGCTCAATGGCCCTGAGTGCCGAGTATAGGACAGAATTTGCAGCTCTCCACCGGCAACTGGTGGCGTCTCTTTATGAGTAAAAAAAATCTCGAGAGGGACGTTAAACAATAAAAAATCAATCAATCCAACCAAAGCATGGTCCTCAATAGAACACTTAGTATCCTGAACACGATTGAAAAGGAGCAAGCAAAGTATAAATGTGGTGAGATACAGTTTTTTTTCCGGATTTTAAAGTGATATATATTGCTCGGGTTTATATTAGTTATAAAGTAATATATTTTGAATATTTTTTTTCATGATTTTCTTTTCTGTTAGATATGTTGTAAACTGCCATTAAGACATTCTTCCTAAAAAATCATTTTGCGATTGTTTTAATAAAATTACTCTTCAAAGTATTTCATAAGAAAAGAATATTTACGTTTAGAAAACACCGTGAATGTGAAAAAGACTTTTCTTTTTGCAGGAACCAATGCTGTGGTTCGAATTGGGTGTTCAACACATTTGTTAGCATTTGTTTTGGGGTTTTCATTACTTTTTTGTATGTTTCATTATTGAATATAGTTAATTCGAATAAAAACAAGCAAAGAAAACTACCAGTGATAAATTTTAATAACATCTGCAAACGATACCTCTCCTTGGACCCATAGGACATAAAAGACGAATACATGAAAACAACTTTTTTTCTGGCATAAAGACTTCACAACTCTTCGATCATAGTAAATTTTTACCATCGTCTGAACCTTTTTTCTGAAACTAAACATGCTGTTTATGAAGAAAATAATTTTCAAAGAATATCATTGTATTTGGTTATCAATAAAATAACTTTTAAAACAATCTCTCTTTGATTTTGCATTAAAATATTTTATTTTAATGCAGTAAGTATTTTGATACCCCGGGTACCCATCAACTGGTTAATTTCTTTCCCTAATCCTCTCAACACTAGGACACCTTATCTTATCCTCCTTCAATGAGTAAAAAGTCTGTAAAACAGTCTGTCGTGTGTTGCCACTTTTGTGACGTTTAATTATTTGTTTGAAATTCTCAAAAGTATTATTAATAATGACATATAATTTTTAAACTTTGAAACAACGTCCGTCCTCCAAGGATGTAGATGGGAGAAAAGGCAGAGTAACGCACCGCATGGTCAGAATTTCATTTGTTAGATTTTGATTGGTCAATCTCTGCCTCTCCTACCACGGTAAGACATGGAACAAAATTACCATTACAAAGCACAGCTATACAATATTTCAGACTTTCACATTCAAGGAGGACACTTATTGATTACAATGAACATTTTTAAGTAAATTTAAATTTATTAAAGGTTTATGTATAAGCTGAAAACGACTGGTATATAGGCATACATGTATGGCATACGCCATTTTCGATATTACTATCTCCATGTACGATATCATCGATTACCAGAGTATATACTCTTCCCATTCGTAACGCATGACTGTTTTATTGCCACGGGTATCGGAGTGGAATGTTGACCCAAGCTAGTGCTGGTTGTAATATATGATTATTTGATATGCATATTTGATCGAAAGGAATGAATGTAACATTAACGTCAGCATGTCCAAAATTTATATTTACAATTGCTCAAAACTATGTGAGGTATAAAATTGAAACTTATAAAGTTTATATATAAATCATTGATAAACAGATAGAGGATATCACTTAAAAACAAGCATTTGTTTTTAAACAGTGTATTTTTTTCAGAAGAAATGTATCCAAAAATCTGCATATTGAAAGGAAAATGCACCTGCTTAATTTTGTGCTTTTTGTGATTACCATCATTGTAAAAATATGTAATGCAATGAAGAACAAGTTCGACGTGAATGGTCTCTGAAAGGCTGTTATTGAAAGCATGACACGTATAAAGACAAGACCCCTATATAATCGGCCATATGCAATGTAATTTCAGTTGAGATCGAAACATTTAGACAAAATAAACACGGAAAACAACTTACCAAAGGCTATCCGAGTCCAACTTGCCCTTCATTGAGAAACATATATTGTTTCTGCGATGATAGCTTTCACTAAAAGCACAGAATTTATTAGGTATATTGAGTGGGGGTTGCATTTTTAAATGATTTTTTTTAAATATAAAATATTTTTTATTTGTACATATATCAAGTGATACTTTCTATCTGTTAATCAATTATATATTTATAAACGTAAAAGTTTAAAAAGTTTTGGAGCAAATGTACAGATAATTTTAAGGACATGTTGACCTTTGACGAAACCTTTACCAAGAGTATACACGCAGCGAAATGATGTTGACGACGAAGCTAACGGAAATAACTCCGTTACAAAATATGAACGCCCACTTTAATTATTCAAAAATCAAAATCAACATGCTTTTGCAGTTCTCGACGTTATTTTCCATCAACGAAAACAAATATAAATGGCATTTTCTGATGCCATAACTTGCTTTCTCATGGTTTCTAAAAAAAAGGTTATTTGAATTGCAATGTAAAATACATTAAGGTGTTTGAAAAAATCAAATGCATTGTTAGGTAACCTGAGTAAATTCAGGTAACCTATTGCTAGTGCTTTCGCCCGTCGTCATATGTCTTTCTTAAACTTTTAAACATATTAAACTTCTTCTCTGGAACTACTGAAACAAAACAAAATTTGGTATACGGGATCTATTGGGTGAAGGGGAACAAAAAGTGTGAATTTCAATGTCCCTCCTCCCTGGGGCCTGAGGGGTTGGGCTTAAACCAATAAAATTA